ATAAAGAATAGTTGTAGGACTTCGGTGTAGCTTTTGCCTTGACTATATGCTTCTAAACATTTCCAAAAACGTCGGAAAAGTTTGAGATGAACTTGTTGCTTCTCGAAGTTCATTCGTGACTCGTGGATTAATCTAATCATTGTATCATATTTCTGATCGTTTTTTTTTCTCACGAATTGCTTCATGTGAGCCCAACAGCCCTCAATTGCATTAATTTCACAGTGATATTTAGGACAGAATAGAACAGATAATTCGTACTTTCGTGCCATGTGTTCTAGTCGTGATATCTAACAGAAGAGAAATATTATACTATAGTACATCTTAAGCTACGCTAAACCATACTTTCTGAAAAGCTGGATGATTCGCAAGTAATTGACGAAGCTCATTGAGTTTTGCTGTCGGTAAAGGATTACACTTAAGTTCAATAGCTATTTGATATAAACCTTTAGATTTTCCTCGATTATGGCCATGTTGAAAATAACATGGTAATGATTGTGTAACACCATTATCATCCACCCACTCAATCTGTTCGACAGGACAACGTGTTAAAATTCCTTTTCCGAAATCTAATAGACTATAAGGACGAGCTGAATGCGTTCGTGCATTATCTACTATAATTTCAATTCGATGATTTTTAAAGCACTCTTTAAATTTAATCAATTTAAATAAACGCTCAAATTGTGCTAAAATTGTCGAATTATCAAAGTAAACATCAGAACTAACATTTGCAGATGCACTAGCAGAACGCTCTATATAATTAATGTTTTCTTCTTCGTCTAAGTCGGGATATTTTTCCAAAGCTTTTTCATATTCAGCTTCACTAAGTTGAAAAAATGGTCCTGATGGATGCATAACTAAAAAGTCCGATAACATATTAGATCTACCACGACCTTTGGAATAAAATGGTGACTGATCATTATACACCCAACGTTTTGCTGATACTTCACCGCTTCTGAACGTACTCTCATCGTGAACTGAAATGACAAAATATTCGAGATACAAAAGAATATTCAAATGAACTTAGTTCTATCTTATGATAATTTACAGATAAGAATAGTAGGTGTTCCTGATGTTGGTATCTGCCATTTAGGCTTAGCGTCTTCACTGATTAAGTAATATGAATCTTTTCTTGAAAGATAGTGTTGTAAGAATTTAATGCGATGTTCGACTACATCTTCTCTCTCATGACCTTCGAAGTAGGGGCGTTTTGAATTGGCTTCGAAACGAGCACCCCATCTTCGAAGATCGAGACGACACGATTGTACTGAACGAATCAATGAGTCATCAGGATTCTTATTAATTGCTGTTAACACATAAAATTTTTCATCGATAAAATTTGCTAATTCAAATGCATCAAAATCAGCTGCTTTTGCAGCACATCGTTGAATAGCGTAATCCTTAGCTAATAATTCAATATCAGGAAATACATCGTAAAAGCTGGGAATATGTTTACCCCCACGACCTTCGCTGATAAACTCATCAAAATCACCACATAGAAATATGTTGGCCCACTTCTGAGCTGTTTTACTCGTTAATGCACCGATTCTTTTAAAGAATTCATCACATTTATCGTATGTTACACCAAAATAACGCATAGTCATGTACAATAAGACAGAAACAAATCTTAAACCTATTTTATCATTAATCAATTCAAGTAACTCTCCAATATGATCGACATCAAATTTATCAACAAAACGAATGAATTCGACATTACCATCTGAATATTCCTTAATATCTTCTTCTGATAAACATTCATTTTCTAACGAATGGGATTGGTCATACCAACGTTTTCGAGCATAGGCACGTCCTTTACGACGAATTTTACTTAACTTTGGCATAATATGTAAAAAAATATTTAATTATATATTACTAATATAGAATAACGTCCTTCTATATTAAAACAAATGTATTTTTCTTAAACGAACTTCGATAATAGGAATTATGATTCAAATAGCGCTATTTATAGACGGAACGATCTTTCTATACAGTAAACAAGACGGTATACGAAAGCAATTTGTATCATTTACATAATGATGATAATATTGATGTAGAAAAAGAGAAAGAACATATATGTTCAGTCACATGTATGTCGAGAAATATAACGTTTAGGTTGAACAGAACGAGAAAGAAATAGCTAATCCAGGGAAAGGAATGAACAATAGAAAAAGAGAATGAATTTAACGATATAAAGAATATGTAAATAAAAATAATTAATCAATAATTTTCATTTTTATATTATTATAAAATATAGCAAAATACCAATCTTTGTAGAATTAATATACCGATAGTCAAAACAAATCCTACCTAAATTTCTTCTATTTAATTAAAAAATAATCTTTTTATGATGTTGAAAAGATTTTAGCAACTTTTAGACTTAATCTATTGAATCCTGCATCAAATCATATCGATATAAAGAAGAAAAAAAACAAAAATAAGGGAGAAAAAAATTCAGTAAAATTTCACTCATTGGACGTTGACACGATTTTTTCAAAAAAATTGATTTTTTTCAACAATAAAAGGAATTTAAAAAAAACAAAATGGTAACGGTTATAGCCCATGGTCTGGCGATTCTAACGAGATAAGAAAGTTCTTTCTATCTCTTATAACAAAAAACTAGATACATTTACAATGATAGACACTGATGCATAATTTTCAATCGATAGGCCTGTTTGTATTCAAGAAATTTTTTTTAGTTGTAAAAACTGTATATTCATCAAAACAATACTGTTCGACTCAGTTTTTCACGCTGTTTCAGAATATATATGTTTCAAAAATTTTAAAGGAAAGATAAAAGAAATATGTGATCGTTTTTCTAGAAGGAATGAATTTAGTGGGAAAATTGTGTTTTTTAGTCATTCAACTTTTTTTGCGTTTTTCTCCACCAAACAGAAATCAAATCGAAATAAAAAATATATATTCGTGATCAGCGTTTCAAGCTCTATCCAACCATATATAAATAAAAGAAAAAGAAAATTTACGGAAATTCTGCATTTTCGCTACCTTATGAAGAAGCGTTCAGAAATAAAAATTAATTGCAGAGTGAAATTAGAAATAGCTCAGTGCAAAATATAACCC